ACTAGGGATCTAAAGAGAACAGACAATGTGAAAGGAAGGAGACCATCAGGAACATGCATAATTTAGGGAAATTTCTCAGAACCAGAAGACACAAGTTCTTAAGTGGAAAGGGCCACCAAATGCCCCACACAGTGAATGATCAAGAGCAGCTTCCATAAGCTTTCAAAGGAAGAAGGAGTCAGAACAGAGTCAGACTTCTCAGAGAGCAGCACTGGGAGCTAAAGGATAAGGCATGGGGAGGTGTTCAAATGTCTCTTAGAAAGTATTTATAACCTCAAATTCTTTTTTTTTTTTCTTCTTGGAGATAGAGTCTCACTATGTCGCTCTTGGTAGAGTGCCTGATGTCACAGCTCACAGCAGCCTCCAACTTTTGGTCTCAAGTGTTTCTCTTGCCCTACCTCCCAAGCAACTGGGACTACAGGCACCTGCCACAGTGCCTGGCTTTTTTTTGTTGCAGTTGTCATTGTTGTTTAGCTGGCCCTAGCCGGGTTCAAACCCGCCAGCCTTGTTGTATGTGGCTGGCGCTGTAATCACTGTGCTGCAGGCACTGAGCCATAACCTCAAATTCTTTGCTCAGTGAAACCTCTGATGAGCTATGAATATAGAATAAAAGCTCTCAGAAAGTTTATCCCCTCAACACACCCATTTTCAGGATGCTCGTGAATGATGTGCTTTACCAACATGAAAGAATAACCCAGGAAAGAGGAAGACATGAGATGCAGGGACATGAGCTCTACAGGACAGAGGCAGAAGGGACCCAGATTATGGGGGAAGGGGGAGAGGTTCCAGAACGGTGGCTGTGTTCTAGGTCCAGAGGGTCCAGATGAGAGCAGGTTGGAGGGCTCTGGGAAGGACCTCCTCAAGCAGGTGAAAGGATAGAGCACCTGCTGCATCTGGACATCTTGAGAGATTAGACAGAGTTTTGTTGGGACGTGGGACAAGATGAGCACTAACTCTAGGTATAAGTTACACAGGAGATAAAAAATAGTCACAGGTTACTCTGTGGCTGAAGTGTTAATAATGTTTATATAATCACAGCAATATAGACACTACTCTACCAAACTAATAAAATTGTGATATAACTGCACTGTGGGAATAGAAGAGTTCTTATGTAAGGCAGAGTGAGAAAAGAGAAAGAAAGGAATCTTCATTTTCACCATAGGAAATCAATAAGTAAAACTGAATGTGGGTAAATGCCAAAATGATCAGCCAAGAGAAGTTTGCTTTGGAGAGGAAGAGAGGGAAGCAGTAAGGCCCTCTGTTTTGTTCAACAAGCCCTGTGGAAACTATTTAAAGTATGTGATTAATAACTTTGATGAAAATAAAAACTAAAAAAAAAAAGTGGCAAATTCACAAGGATGTTAACTGTAGTGCTGTGAAATATCAGAGATAACCTACATGCCCATAATATTGGTAATAAAGTGCTCTACAGTTATTCAATGAAGGCGTACACCTGTTTAGGAACATGTAGATACCATCATATATTACTAAGTTTAAAAAAAAAAGGTAGATAGGCCGGACGTGGTGGCTCACACCTATAATCCCAACACTTGGGAGAATGAGGGGGATGATTTGCCTGAGTTCGTGGGTTTAAGACCAGCCTGAGCCAGAGCAAGACCCTGCCTCTAAAAATAGCCGGGTTGGCTCAGCACCTGTAGCTCAAGCAGCTAAGGCGCCAGCCACATACACCAGAGCTGGTGGGTTCGAATCCAGCCCCAGGCTGCCAAACAACAATGATAACTACGACCAAAAAATAGCCAGGCATTGTGGCAGGCACCTATAGTCCCACCTACTTGGAAGGCTGAGGCAAGAGAATTGCCTAAGCCCAGGATTTGGAGGTTGCTGTAAGCTATGATGCCATGGGACTCTACCCAGGGTGACAGCTTGAGGCTCTGTCTCAAAAAAATAAAAAAATAGCTAGGCATTGTGGTGGGCACCTGTCGTCCCAGCTACTTCAGAGGCTGAGACAATATTGCTTGAGCCGAAGAGTTTGAGCTTTGATGGATGGCACTCTACCGAGGGTGATAAAATGAGACTTGTCTCAAAAAAAAAAAAGGGGGGGATAGATAGATTTGAAAATATTGATATGCTGCCCCCAAGATGCTGAGTCTTCTATGGTTTCTAGATGTGCTGAGGAAGTGAAGAGCCCTGGAGAAGAAGCCAGCAAAGCCAAAGTCTACTACAATGTTGAATTCACTTTTGACACAGATGCTCGTGTAGCCATCACCATCTATTACCAGGCCACCGAAGAGTTCCAGAATGGTATTGCCAGGTAAGAACAAGAGACCAAGCAAGCCACTTCCTTCCCAGGCCTATTAGAGTCCATGTCTTTTTCTTTTTTTTTGGAGACAGTCTTATTCTGTCACCCTTGGTAGAGTGCCATGTCATCATAGCTCACAGCAACCTCCAAATCTTGGGCTCAGGTAATCCTCTTGCCTCAGCCTCCTGAGTAGCTGGGACTAGAGCAGCCCACCACAACACCCAGCTATTTTAGAGACTGGGTCTTGCTCTAACTTAGGCTGGCTGGAAATCCTGAGCTCAGGTGATCCACCCACCTCGGCCTCCCAGCGTCCTGGGATTACAGGTGTGAGCCACTGTGCCTACCCTAGAGCCTAGGTATTATACGCTCACCTAGGGAGAAAAACATTCTTTTGCTACAACTGGGTAAGAGCTGGTTCCTGAATTTAGATTTTCATTTACTAAACCCTGCTTTTTGTTTTTGGTTTATTTTTATTTTTATTTTTTTTACAGTTTTTGGCCAGGGCTGGGTTTGAACCCACCACCTCCAGTATATGGGGCTGGTGCTCCACTCCTTGAGCCACAGGCACCACCACTAAACCCTGCTTTTTCACCTTTTCATTTCAAATGGTACCATCTTGGAATAGTGGCCAATGGCAAGATAGCTCTTCAGGTCCTGAGATGCTGTTAAATCATTAAGCTACCTTTCTATGGATATGTGGGTTGAACAAGTAAGTTTAATAACATTACCGGCTCGGCGCCTGTGGCTCAAGCGGCTAAGGCGCCAGCCACATACACCTAAGGTGGCGGGTTCAAATCCAGCCCGGGCCCGCCAAACAACAATGATGGCAACAACCAAAAGATGGCCAGGCATTGTGGCGGGCACCTGTGGTCCCATCTACTTGGGAGGCAGAGGCAAGAGACTTGCTTGAGCCCAGGAGTTGGAGGTTGCTGTGAGCTGTGATGCCACAGCACTCTACCCAGGGCAAATGCTTGAGGCTCTGTCTCAAAATAAATAAATAAAATAACATTACCAAGCCAGAGTAAAGGAAACAGATTACAAAGAAGGCCTTTCTCCCCGGTGTTGGAGCTGCTGGTTGACAACTGAGGACAGGCCTGAGACAGAGGCAGTTGTCACATCTGCCTGGGCTAGGTATTCACTTTTGCTTTGCCTCCCACTTGTATGACAGCTACATTCCAAAAGACAACAGCCTTCAGTCGGAGACTGTGCACTACAAGCGAGGCGTGTGCCAGCAGTTCTGCCTGCCCTCCCACACCGTGGACCCCTCAGAATGGGCAGAGGAGGAGGTGAGCTGCCTGATGAGGGGTCCTCACATAGACTCGGGAGGGCCTGGGAGCTGCTCAGGACCCCAGCAGGCAGCAAAAAGGGCTGCCCAGATGCCTGAAGGCCAGGCTCACCCTTTAGCCTGTTGACTTCATCAGGTGCTGAGCAGTTTTGCTTATTTCACATCAAGGATATACCAAATTTTGTTAAGTTTTCTATCCTAAACTAATTAGGCAAGGATACTTTGAGAAAGCCATGCTCAGAGAAAAAAACTTGAAAGCCAGAGGACTTTACCTGTGAGATTTTTAAAAACTGATGGCCTTCAGTTAAACAGAAGTGGGTAGTTACACAGGAGCAGAGATAAGATTAATGCTTCTTGACTTTCCTTCCCTTTCACGGGAACTGCGCCATCTAAATGTGTTAAATTCCTTTTTTTCCTTTTCTTCCCTTCAGCTTGTCTTTGATCTGGACCGAGAGGTCTACCCTCTGGTGGTACATGCTGTGGTGGATGAAGGAGACGGTAGGGTGACTTTGGTCTTCTCTTGCTGTGCACCTTGCCTTTGTGTGGCATAGCCCTGGCAGCAGCTATGGCCTGAGAACAGCACTCCTCTCCTGTGGGTCTCGGTCAGGCGGTCTCTGCGTGCTCTCACACGTGTGACCTCAAGCTCCTTGGGCTGCTGTGAAGAGTGTGGGTTATATAACACGCCCTTTCTGGGGTCAGCCTGGCACATTTGGTTTGCCAGATTGCAGACAATAGGGGGAGGTAGTGGGCACGGAGGTGTGTTGTTTGTCCTTCTTCACCTGTGTACCTTTGTTTCTTTTAGAATATTTTGGCCATTGCCATGTCCTGCTGGGTACTTTTGAAAAGGTAAGTAATTGTAGAGGGCCTCACTTTAGTATGCTTAGTCCTTTCCTTCATGGAAGGACACCCTCAGCAGAATGGGTCTGGCTCCGGAGACTAGGTGGCGTTGCGTGTCACCGTCACACTGGGTCTCAGCTTGGTCTCAGCCCTGATCTGCCACCAACTAGCCACGTGAATTTAAACTACTTAGGCCTTGGTCTCCTCTTCTGAAAATGAAAGCGTTAAATGGGATTCTTGACAGCTGTAAGAATTAGAACTCTTTAGTTCCACTTCGTGTATGTCCAAAAAACATGTATGTAGGAGTCTCCTTGTCCTTTGGGGTGTGTTCCAAGACCCCAGTGGAAAGTATGGAGCTCTCTGGAGACTATGGTTTTTCCTAAACTGCACATGTATCTGTGATAAAGTTTAACTTATAAATTAGGCACAGTATGAGATAACAATAATAATAAACTAGAATAATTATAAGGATATACTATGATAAAGGTCATGTGAATGTAGTCTCTCTGTTTTAAAATGTCTTATTGTATGTAATATTTTCAGACTTGTGGTTAGCCATGGGGAACTGAAACTGTGGAAAGCCAAACTGCAGATAAGGGGGGAGACTGCTGTGATTGAGAGAAGGCTATCTGGTACTTTATTACCCTCCCTTCCTTGTCATAGCTATCATATTTTCATTCTAGCACACAGATGGAACTTTCTGTGTCAAGCCCCTCAAACAGAAACAAGTAGTAAGTATTTCAGGACCGTGAACTATTAGTCTGTTAGTATCCCTTCCCTCCTTCCCTTCTTCCCTCCTTCCCTTCTTCCCTCCCTCATTCTTTCCTTCCTTTTCTTCCCTTCTTCCCTCCTTCCTCCCTTCCTTCCTTCTCTCCTTTCTTCCTTCCCTCCCTTCCTCCTTCCTTCCCTTCCTCTCTCCTTTCTTCTTTCCTTCCTTTTCTTCCCTCCTTCCTCCCTTCCTTCCTTCTCTCCTTTCTTCCTTCCCTCCCTTCCCTCTCTTCCTTCCTTATTCTTCCTTCCCTTCTCTCTTTCTCTCCCTCCTTTCCTCTTTCTCCTCTCCCTTCTCTCCCTTCCTCCTTCCCTCTCTCCTTTCCTTCCCCTTTCCCTTTCTGCCCCTATCTCCTCTCCCTATCTCTTCTCAATTCTTTTTCTTTTTTAACTCTTTTGCTAAGTCTCTTCTTTTTTCTTCCACCCCCTTTTTTTTCTTTTCTCTTTCTTTTTTCTTTTTCTTTTCTTTTTTTTTTTTGAGACAGAATCTCACTATGTCACCCTCAGTAGAGTGCCCTGGCATCACAGCTCATAGCAACCTCAAATTCTTGGGGTTAAAGCGATTCTCTTGCCTCAGCCTCCCAAGTAGCTAGGACTATAGGCACCCACCACAATGCCCGGCTATTTTTTGGTTGTAGTTGTCATTGTTGTTTAGCAGGCCCAGGCTGGGTTCGAACCCGCCAGCTCCAGTGTATATGGCTGGCTCCCTAGCCCTTGAGCTACAGGCACTAAGCCCATCCCCTTCTTTTTTTTAATCAAAGAAGGAAAGAAAACAGGGAATGCTTCTAAATGTTAGAAACTACTTGGGTGGCCTGAAAGGAACACTGATTTTTGGTGTCTTGATTATTACAGAATTGTTGACTATTGAGGCAGCCATTATTTGAAAGGACTTAAAAAGTGAAAGGACAAGATTTAGCTCCTGACATTGGATTTAGGGAGAATTCTTTTTATTTAAAATGCCAGAGTGAGAAACACTTCAAGCAAAAAGATAAAATAGTGGGGTCCAATTTAGGGTAATTAGAGACCTTGGCTTAATTTATCACACCATTCCTTTTCTAAAATGATGTGAAAATTCAGATATTCTGGCCATCCTTCCTATTCCAGAATGATCAGCACCTTATGCTAGAAGTCCCAACCCCCACCACTTGCCGGCTGTTTTTATCCACTCTTGCAACAATAGCTGGAGATGTCATGGGAGCGAGGGGAGAGTGGGGCTAGGGCAGTGGCAAGGGAGGGCGTGTGAGGGGCAGGTCTTCTCATGGAGGGTATGGGGCAATTGGTTGGGAGGCAGGGTTGGCTTTTGTTGGGATGCAAAGAAAGGCCCCCCCTTAGATGGGTGATAAATATCTGAATTTCTATATTGTTCATTCTTTTGGGTTAAGAACTCACCCCTCTTTTAATGAGATCAATAGTACTCATTAATTCCTTAGTATGAATTAGTTGATAATGTCCTTTCCAATATAATCACTAGGTGAAAACAAGTTTTAAGAGAAGCAGAGGAGGAAACAGATCCTGAGCCCAAGGTACTACCTGGGCAAGCCAGGCCTTGGTGAGTTGCCTCAAGGGGGAAGCCTAGTTCTCCAGGAGGCCTGGATAGGATGGAAAGGCTAGTGCAGCCAGAGGACAGTGTTTTGTCTATTTCTCTGTTGCTAGATTGGCATCAGCAACAGACCATCAAACTGAAAAGTGGGATATAAAATCAGAGACAAGCTAGGTCTTAGGGGAAAGGATCACTGGGAACAGAGGCGAGGCAGGGGAAAGAAGTGGGCTCCTAAAAGAAAACAGGGGCAGGGCCGACTTAAGCACTGACCTGGCTCAGGCTAGTTGGAATGAGACTGGGCATTGGCACTTGGGTTTTTAAGGAACAGGGCCAGGCCAGGAGGGGTAATTCTGCCGCGTGTCGGGGATGGAGTAGCTTCCTGGAGCACACACCGTCAGCCTCTCCTTCATGGTCTTGTTGTCCCCTTTGCATCTAGTCCCCCACTTTTTCCTTTGCCCATTTCTTCTTTTATTTATTTCTTTTGCATGCCTTTCTTTCTGTAATGTCTGGACTGAAATTTTATTACCTAGCTAAAGCTTATGTTTTGATATATACTCTTCCATTCTTTTCCTAGTCTGTGCCTTTAACTGTCCATATAGTAAGATGCAGTACAAGTACTACTGTGATATTTATGAAATTTTATGTTTCTTGTTGTATAAAATGGTGGGTGAATTAAACATTGGACTATATTCCACTCTCAAAGAAAAAAATATAAGTAAATTAAAGCATCCTTTACGTATCCAGGGCTTTGATTTTTTCATTGCAAATCAGTAGTCCTTGGTTACCAAAGAAGTCAGGGTCAGGGGTCCCACTCTGGTCTTTCAGTAGATGCAGCCTGTTCTTGAACTTTTCTCTTTGCTCTTCAGGTAGATGGGGTCAGCTACCTCCTTCAGGAGATCTATGGAATTGAAAACAAGTATAACACACAAGATTCCAAGGCAAGTTATTGGTTTTTTTTCTTAATTTGTTTACGAGATAGAGGCTCACTTTATCGTCCTGGGTAGAGTGCTGTGGCATCACAGTTCACAGCAAGCTCCATCTCCTGGGCTTAGGCGATTCTCTTGCCTCAGCCTCCCAAGTATCTGGAACTATAGGTGCCCACCCCAATACCCAGCTATTTTTTTTGTTGTTGCAGTTTGGCTGGGGCGGGGTTTGAACCCACTATCCTCAGTATGTGGGGCTGGCACCCTACTCACTGAGCCACAGGCACCGCCCCAAGGCAAGTTTTATCCAAAATTCTGAATGTACTCTTCCTGGGAGTCTCACTCTTCCAGAGTGAGAAATTCTCAGATAAAACTAGGACCTAGGAATGTAGTGTGCTAACCCTGGGTCCTGGGAGGATGTTGCTCCTTGCCTCAGATTATTATGCTGGTATTACTTTGGAAATGAGCTTTGGGTTTGTTGTGCTGCAGAGTTCTGTCCAGTTGGGTTTCCTCCCAGGGTCCTTTCTTTGCCCTTTCTCCCTAGTCCCTGTGGTCTCCTAGGTCCCTTCAGTTCAAGTGTCAGAGGGCAAGAGCTCTACACCACAGAGGAGGAGCTTGGGTGCTTAGAACTCTCCTTTCAACTTTATTTATTTACTTACTTATTTATTTTTGAAACAGAGTCTCTCACTTTGTTGCCCTGGGTAGAGTGCCATGGCATTATCATAGCTCATAGCAACCTCAAACTCTTGGGCTCAAGTGATCCTCCTGCTTCAGCCTCCCCAGGACTTTGGGCACCCACTACAACGCCTAGCTAGTTTTTTCTATTTTTAGTAGAGATGCAGTCTCATTCTTGCTCAGGCTGGTCTCAAACTCCTGAGCTCAAGTATTCCACCTGCCTCTGCCTCCCAGAGAGCTGGGATTATAGGCATGAGCCACAGTGGCTGGCCCATCCTCTCAACTTTAGATAAACCTTCCCAGAAGCAGGGAGACTAAGTAGGTGAAAACAGAAAACACTGGGTCAACTACAAAGTTCATTGTCATTGTAGATTTTGTCCTTATAGTCTCTTCAGCTCTTCATCCAAGCTGCCTTGTAAAAAGAGTCTGGGAAGTGAAGGGGTTTGTGTCTTTGGCTAAATTTCTGTCTCCCTGGCCAGGTGGCTGAGGACGAAGTGAGTGACAACAGTGCTGAGTGTGTCGTGTGTCTCTCAGACGTTCGGGACACCTTGATTCTGCCCTGTCGCCACCTCTGCCTCTGTAACACCTGTGCAGACACCCTGCGCTACCAGGCTAACAACTGCCCCATCTGCCGACTGCGTAAGCCCCCCAGCATCAGGGGCACTGGAGGGCGAGAGTGGGTGGGGTGCTTACAAAATCCCAAAGCACACATGCACACATGCCCCCTCTGGGGCTGGCAACCACTTGAGCACTGGGAGGGAGTGCAATTCTGTCTGGGCTCTTCTTTATCTTAATCCTGCAGCAGGATGTCCTGATCACCTGTGTTCCTCTTCACAGCCTTCCGTGCACTACTTCAGATCCGAGCCATGAGGAAAAAATTGGGTCCCTTGTCCCCACCCAACTTTAACCCCATCATCTCATCCCAGACATCCGACTCTGAAGAACATTCAGTAAGTTGCACTTGGAAGCACAGCCCCCAAAAGCAAATGCTCTGTGGGGTCCTTATTGTCTCGCTCTTCTTTATCCTTCTTTACAATGGCCCTGCAACAGAGCATTAAACTTTGGCATGATGAAGCAGTTAATAGACTGGCTGAGATTATGTTCTGTTAAAACCAACCAATATTACAATGGAAATTTGAAGACAGGTCATTAAAACCCCCTTTACCTCCACTACTGGAGCGTAGTGTCCAGTTAGTATTTACCATTCCTATAGCCACCTGCTTGCAGTTTCACTCCAGTGGGGCCCAACTTGAATTCCCCCAAGAAGAAACAAACAGATGGTTGGTTTTTATTTGAGTACAATTTACTATCTTTATTTGAATCCCTAAAGAAAGTAACTGCTTTTCTTTATCCCATTTCATGGCATCCAGGACCAGAAGCTGGGTATACACAGTAACTGACCTCAATTTCATATAAGTGTTAGAGGTAAAACCTAAAAGCTTTGCAGTCGTAGAAGAGCGAATATTGTTGTTCTTTAGATTAACCCACTGGTGGGAGAGATTATTATTCAATGAAGGGTATTGGGATAATTAGTTCGCTATTTACTAAGGAAAAATCAGGTGAGCACTCTACTCCTTACCAGATAACAAATAAATTCTAGCCAGAGTAATTAGTTAACTATATTAAAAGCACAACAAACCAAGCATTTCAATTTAGAATAAAATATAGATGATTATTTAGTTGACTTTGGGTAGGAGAGGACTCTGTAAGCTTTAAAGCAATGAAACGCTACAGAAAACAAATCTCTAGATATTATCATGTAAAAAGCTTAATACTTCAGAAGTCTAAAAAGTGACCAAAATTAAAATGTAAACAATAAATTATTTTTTTCTTTTTACATATACATATGTTTATTAGGTTTCCATTTTTTCGCCTTCACAAAATTAAAAAGGCTTAAAATTTAATAACAATAACAATGTTTAAGAAAAGGACTAGAAACAAAAACCTGGTAAAAAACGAATGAAGATAAATACGTTCAGAAAAGAAATCAGATGATTGCTGCTTCGAAATATTAAGCAAAATAATAATGCAAAGAAAGTAACATTCACATTGTCAAATAAGAGAATATCTATTATAGAATGCTTTTTAGTCTTTTTTTTTTTTTTGCAGTTTTTGGCCAGGGTCAGGTTTGAACCCACCACCTCTGGCATATGGGGCTGGCGCCCTACTCCCTGAGCCACAGATGCCGCCCAAAGAAACAAAGATGAGACAAATGTGGATCACTTGGACTAGGACAGTGCCCCCTTTTTAGTCTTTAAAAAAAAAATTGAGACCAGATGCTGTGGCTCAGCACTTCCAGAGGCTGAGGCAGAAGGATTACTTGAGTCCAGGAGTTCAAGACTGGCCTGGGCAACAAGACCAGCAAGACCCTGTCACTTTTTTTTTTTTTTTTTTGCAGTTTTTGGCCAGGGCTGGGTTTGAACCCACCAACTCTGGCTTATGGGGCCAGCGCCCTACTCCTTTGAGCCACAGGCGCCACCTGACCCTGTCACTTTTTTTAAAAAAAGAATGTTATGTTCAGTGAAATAAGCAGGATATAAAATTATTATTTATAGACTGATCATAACTTGTGTAAATAGCACAAAGATAAAAACTGGAAGAAAATATATCAGAATGCTAACAAAAATTACTTTGGATGTTTGGGTTTTTTGGTAATTTATTTCCCTTCTACTTTTATGTATTTTCCAAATTTCCTGTAATGAACACGTACTTCTATTATAATCAGAAGACATAAAGATATCTAAGAAAAAGTTTGCCTATCAGCAGGATCTGGAATATGTGGTTCTTTTGGTGGTTTATCTTTCTTCTCCCTCAATCACAGAAGCTTTTCTTCCTAGACCCTCCAAACCAGATGTACAAGAAAACACTTTTTCTTTGTATAGTAAGGATCATAATCATGCCATAAAATAAAAAGGACTTAATTAATTTTCAACCTGTCTCTGATTTCCCTAGTCCTCAGAGAATATCCCACCAGGATACGAAGTGGTATCTCTTCTGGAAGCCCTCAATGGGCCCCTCACCCCATCCCCAGCAGTCCCTCCACTCCATGTGCTTGGAGATGGCCACCTCTCAGGAATGCTGCCTTCATATGGCAGTGATGGCCACCTGCCCCCTGCCAGGACACTTTCCCCTCTTGACCGCCTGTCTGACTGCAGCAGCCAAGGACTCAAGCTCAAAAAGAGTCTCTCCAAGTGAGTAGCCAACAATCAACAATATCACCCCCAGAAGCCATGAGGAGACACTTTTGACCCATCTTTCCCCTCACTGGGCTCACATCTTGGGGCTCAAGGGCAGAGGAGATGCTCTGAGCTATTCCCAGACCTTCTTAGGGGAAAGGTTTTCCCATTTTTAAGAGAGGAAAATGAGGTAGTATATAGGTACTTAGGAGAATTTGGTTTGGAGAAACCTCTTATATGTTCTCTTCTTTTATGGGAAAGCGACAGGGATATAGGGAAGAGGATGCTGAGCACTTGCACAGGGTTGTGCAGGCCCCCAACATTGCTGAGTCACCTGAGCTCAGGAGCTCAAAACCAGCCTGAGCAAGAGCAAGACCCCGTCTCTATTAAAAATAGACGGGCGTTGTGGTAGGCACCTATAGTTCCAGCTACTTAGGAGGCTCAGGCAAGAGAATCGCTTGAGCCTAAGAGTTTGAGGTTGCTGTGAGGTACAATGATGCCAGAGTACTCTACCCAGGGTGACAGAGTGAGACTCTGTCTAAAAAAAAAAAAAAGTACTTAAGTCAACTAGATACCAATCGTGATAGGGCTTCCATAGTGGAGTAAAGGAGGATAATTTATAGATGAAAATATTGAGATCCTAAAAATGTCAGTGGTTTTTCCCAAATTCAGACAGCAATTTCACTGAAGGAGCTGAAGGTAAAACTTCGAGTCTGGTCCCCAGCAGAGGTCTCAGCCCCACCCTCGTGCTCTCTCTACTCCCTAGTCCTTCTGGCCAGGGATGGTAGCCTCTAGACCCAGCTAGAAGCTGGGAAGCTGAAGAGAGGGATCGTATGAGTCCAGGAGTTTGAATTTAGCTTGGGCAACTTAGCAAGACCCCATCTCAAAAACAAATGAACAAACAAAAAAGATCTGGTCTCCCTTTTAGCTTCCACTTCACAGCAGTTATCTTCTTCCTGTGAAGTCTGGTTAGCAAGAGTATAGGGTAAGTTCCGCTCTTTCCCCTGAACTGTTACAGATCCATTTCCCAAAATTCTTCTGTGGTACATGAAGAAGAGGATGAGCGTTCCTGCAGTGAGTCGGAAACACAGCTCTCTCAGAGGCCGTCAGCCCAGCATCTCACAGAGGTCATTAATAGTCTTCTCCTTCCCTGGGTGTGGACTCCAGGGGACTGTCCTCCTACCTGCATGGCTGTCAGGTCCCTCTGCTTTCATTCATTCATCAAACACTTTTGCAACACTCTCTGAGGTAGCAGCAAAGGTTTCCTTAGATTTATTTATTCAGCACTTCGTGGAGCCTGTATGATTTGCCAGGCACTGTCCCACATACTGAGGACAACAACAGGAGGAAGCCATAAAAATGCCTGCCCTCCTCTTGCTTATATTATAGAGGGGTAGGGATGGACACAAAAGACAGTAAGTTTAAAATGTGGGTGTGTTGGATGGTGCTGTGGATCATAATAGGGGAAGGGACTGTTGAGGCTGGAAATGAGGAGTGCTATTTTTAAAAACTGATCTGGAAGCAGAGAGAGTGAGCCACGCAGATGCATGAAGAGAGAGGGCTGGAGATCTGGGGAGGTGGGAAGCCATTGTGGTGGGATAGAAGGAGACTGGAATTTTCTGCCCTTACACATGTTACTTAACAGATTTATGACACACCTACTCTCTGTAGGGCTAGAGCTAGGCATGGTGGGGCATAAGAAGGTGAGAAAGTGGTCCCTGCCCTTAGGAGCTCAGGTCTGGCTGGGACAAGAAACACAACAAGCAGCACATGCCTGGCGTGTTGCTGCTGCTTATAAGTATTCGGCGAGTGGATGAATAAATGAATTTTAACTATAGAAAGAAGTGTGCCCAAAAAAGACAATAGAGTGCTGTGGCAGAGATACACAAGATTATTCTAAATAGAGGAAATCAGAAAAAGTATTCCAGAGGAGTAGCATTTGAGCCAAATCTTGGTATTTTTGAGACATGAAGGGAAAGGTGAGAGAAACATCTAAGTAGACGGGGAGATGCATGCAAAGGCCGGGGCAGGAAGTCAGGCTTGGACAGGCCAGTGATGTGGTGAGACCTCCTATTCCCCAAGGCCCTCTGAGAGCAGTGTGGCCAGGACTAGACAGGAGGCAGACCCAGCCAGGAAGCGGCTTCAGTAGCCCCAGCTAGAGGGAAGCCTAAACTAATCAAAAGAGGACCACCTGACGGGAGGGAAGGGATTATGGAGATACAGTCAGTAGAGCTTTGCATGTGTGCCCAGGTGCCTGGTAGGTGGGGGTTGGATCAGAGTGGGATGTGGCAGGCGCCCAGGCAAGAAGCCAAGGCAGAGTTTGTTTTAGACGATGGAGCTGGAACTGACCACCCATCCACATGAACAGATCCTGCTGGTAGTGAGGCCTCTGCTGGTTTTGTATTCTTTTCCCTCCAAAGGAAAGCTGATCATAATCCTGGGGAAACCTGGGGTGTCCCCATGTCACAGCTGCTGGGTGACCTGTGTCACCTGAGCTGCAGTCTTTGTACAGCCTCAGCAGATGCTGTGCCTCAGGCAGGAGGTGCTGACTGAAGTTGGTGGATCCCATGGGAGACAGTTGTTCCAGGCCAGGGCTGAGAAGTGAGGATGGAAGAGAAGCCACAGCCTGTGCATACCACGTAGTCCCTCTCAGTGTTCTCTTCTGTCTTGTCCCTACTCGGCCCCTTCCTCCATCGTGGTTGGCTTATGCTTACTCCGTATCTCCTTGTGTCTCCCATGTGCCCCAGGAATGTGGTGTGACTCCAGAAAGTGAGAATCTCACCTTATCATCATCAGGAGCTATTGACCAGTCGTCTTGCACAGGGACACCCCTCTCATCCACAATCTCTTCTCCAGAAGGTACATGAAGGAAAGGGAGCAGCTGCCTATCCTTTCCTTACCTTGGCCATGGCTGCCCTGAAATTTCCTCTGGGAATGGACTTGGGAGCAGCAAGCTAATACCTGGGGTGTGTGACTAAATGGGCCAGCCTGAGAGAGGAAGGGATTTGCTCTCCTACAACAGAAGGATGGGACAGGATTTGCCTATGCTAGGGGAGAACTGGTTCTTTTAATCACAGTCCTGCCATCATGAGGTTTCCTTTAACATTATGAAAGGGAAAAGCAAATCTCTAGTCCCTGAAGTTGAGTTCTAAGCCCTAAAACCTTTTCTAGGGGAGGGCAAGATGATATACCTCTCACTGCCTGAGCACAGGGAGAGAGCTCTATTCCCCAGGAGCCAGGCAGAAAGAAGCTCTGCCTGACCTCAGGCTCCTTCCTCCATCCCCTGTCTCCAAAGGCCCTGCCAGCAGCAGTCTGGCCCAGTCCGTCATGTCCATGGCATCCTCCCAGATCAGCACTGACACCGTCTCCTCCATGTCTGGCTCCTACATCGCCCCTGGCACTGAAGAGGAGGGAGAGGCTCTCCCTTCTTCCCGGGCTGCCAGCAGGGACCCCTCAGAAGAAGGAGAGGTAAGGGAAGGGCACGGGAACTACCCTGGCTTCTCTGTGCTTTGTGTGCCTGTTGAAAGTGGCCTCATCGGCTCGGCGCCT